TCCTTCAACAATCTTCGATAGGAATGGAAGGACATATCATCTTCTGACTTGAGACGAGCTGGGCAGGCCATGCTGTCGTCGATCGAACGCATCTGGCAGAGGGTTCGTGCCGCGAGCGAGATCGGACGTGGCACGCAAAGTGTTCCTCCGATGCTATCATGCCACTGTTCATTGCCCACACAAGCGTCTTGCGTTAACGTGGAGGCCATCTAGTAGCGGTGAAGCTTGAGGGTTTCCAGCCACAGCAAGTCGAAAGTAAGCACTACTCGAGCTCGGCACCCCTACTTTCAGACTGGAGGCGACAGCCCCCGACGACATGCTGGGCGGAGGGGCTTGACACCAAGGGCGCAGCTAGTGGGCCCCCGCTGGTGCTTCCTTCCTCCTTCTGGTCCACGCTCACTTTGGGCAACTGCTTTAAGAGTCTCTCTTTCCGCCTGCTTTTCGACTTCATCTCTGGCATCGAGATCCAGATCGGGGCTCTACAGCCACAGCCTTGTCGCTTCCTTTGATCAAAGTCAACCGCCATCTTGCCATCATGACCACGTTGGAAACCCTCGTGCGGCCCAGCTTCGAGCTGCGAACCCTCCACCGTGCCGACTTCGTCAACGGACCCGAGACGGGAACCCCACTCGGTGCCGCAACACCAGATGCCGCCCTCGGCGAGACCGACCTCCCCGTCGTCACCGACACACACGATCCCGCCGATGAGTTCGCGTCGCTGCCGCCTGCTGACGGGGGCAAACATGCGTACCTGTTCCTCGCCGCCTGCTTCCTCGTCGAGGCCCTCATCTGGGGCTTCCCCTTTTCCTTTGGCGTCTTCCGCAGCTACTATGCCACGCACGCCCCTTTTGCCGGGGCCCCCAACATTGCCGTCATCGGCACCTGCGCCATGGGGATCATGTACTTTACAGCACCTCTCGTCATCTCCATCCTCCGCGTCGTCCCTCGTTTCTCCCACTGGTCCCCCGTCATCGGCCTCCTCTTGACGTGTTTCGCCCTCGCCATGTCCTCGTTCAGCACCACTGTACCGCATCTCATCGCCACCCAGGGCGTCTTCTATGCCATTGGCGGTGCCCTCGCCTACATTCCCTGCATCGTCTACATGGATGAGTGGTTCGTCCGTCGCAAGGGGCTCGCCTACGGCATCATGTGGTCCGGTACGGGCATCGCCGGCGTCATCTTCCCCCTTCTCATGGAGACGCTCCTCTCGCGCTTCGGCCATCGCACGACCCTCCGCCTCTGGGCCGGCCTGCTGTTCCTGCTGGCCGCGCCTCTGGCCTTCTTCATCCGCCCGCGCATCCCGCCGACCAGCGCCCGCTCCTCGAGCGCCGCCTTCCGCAGGCCCCACGCCAACGTACGCTTCCTGCTGAGCCGGCCCTTTCTGCTGCACCAGGCTGCCAACATTGTCGAGGCCCTCGGCTACTTCCTGCCAGCCGTCTACCTGCCGTCCTACGCGCAGACGTTCCTCGGTGCGGCACCCTTCGCCGCCGCTTCGACGCTCTTGTTTGTCAACGTGGCAAGCGTCTTTGGCTGCGTCGCCATGGGCCACATGGTGGATCGGCTGCCCGTCGGCCACTGTCTCCTCGTGAGCTCCATCGGCGCCGCCGTCGGGTGCCTGATGCTGTGGGGGTTCGCGTCCAGTCTGCCTGTGCTCTACGTCTTCTGCGCCGTGTACGGGCTGTTTGCCGGCAGCTACACGTCGGCCTGGCCCGGCGTCATGACGAGCATCGTGGAGCGGGAGAGGGGCAAAGGCAGGGGCGTGGATCCCATCCTGGTCTTTGGTTGTCTCGCATCGGGCCGAGGTGTCGGCAATATGGTGTCGGGACCGCTGAGCGAGGCGCTCATCGAGGGGAAGCCGTGGATGGGCGATGCCGGGTTCGGATACGGCAGCGGCTACGGGACGCTGATTGTGTTTACAGGCGTGACGGCCGCGCTCGGGGGGATGAGCTGGCTGTGGAAGCGCATCGGATGGATGAAGTAGGAGGGTGGAAGGAGGTGACGATTCTGCTGCGTTTCGAATGACTTGATGAATCCCACGGCGCCTCTTTTGTTCCTGAATTTGGATACGTGACCGTGGCGGCCTACATGACGATGGCCGTAGGAAGCATCGCAAAGCGTCGGAAGCATCGCAACGTGCCTCATAGCAGTACCTAGGTCCAGGTCCCCTGGCGAAACCGAAACCGAGCCAAAGCACGAATCCCATCCGCCATGAGCGAACCATCAGAGGAGGGAGTGGGACTGCAGAAATCCATTTCCATGCCTCTCAAACCATTCGCCCTCTTCGAAGCAACATTTGGCGCGGCCCAACCGAGACAGGAAAACGGCGTGTGATCACTCGCACCCATCACGTTGGGGCCATCACGACCGCGCATCCATCCCCCAACGTCAGACCAACACCGCCTGACCCTGCCGCTTCTGCCCCGACAGGCCCCTCGCGACCATCCACGGATCCGTCGGCCGCATCTGTGGCTATCCTCTGCTTACCTGCAATGTCTGACATGAAGCATCATCCTACCTGGGATACCTGACCGACACGCCATGTTTTCGATCATCCGCTGAATTCGCACAGCGCCTCTCGCCAGCGGCGATAAACAGACTTATAGCCCCTACCTGCCCTATGCTGCGGTGCGCTCAACCTCATTCCGAGTCCGGCAAATCCTCCAAAGATGCATCAGTAGAGCATCTTTCGATCAGTAACACGCCCTACACTCTCCCACAACATATTACGCCGCCGCCGCCGCCGCCATGTCCTTCGAGAAGAACCCCATCCTCGCACCGCCAGAGCCGGCGCTGCTCTCGCCGCAGCCTCGTCTCACCCAACCTGTACGTCACCCTGAGCCTCATCTGCTGCCAAGTTCTTCTGTGGTGGACAGGCTGACGAAAAGTCCAGCGTCCCATCGCGCCCATGTCCTACATGCCCTCGCCGGAGGAGCAGGCGCTCGCCCTACGCGGCGGCAGGAAGGGTGACTGTTCGGTGAGTCGGACATGCCTCTCTAGGCCATATCTCAACCTTTTTTTTTTCTTTTTCTTCTTCTTCGCTTCTTCAACCCTTTTAGCAAGAGTTTTTGGGGACGTAGTCCTCTGTTTGGACGTCTGCTATGAGATTTGTCAAGTTTTTTTATTACTTAATTAAGGCTTGACTGCTGACTATTTAGGCTATTTGTTGCGGCATGTGTGCTGGGTTCTGTTGCTTCCAGTGCCTCGACTGCCTGTGTTAGTTCCAGTTTGGGCTGTTTGGAGCGTCGGCTTGGCTTGGGCATGTGGCTCATGTGAGACGTCTAGCCTGAGAGTCCTCTGCTGTCTCTGGATGCAGATGATGCGCTTTTCCTGGGTTGTGGTGGGCGGGTGCCATGTTGTTTGAGCGCGATGATATGACAATCTGTATGATGAGAGAAGATGAACCTGAAAGTCATGACGTATGAAGTACGGTCCGTCTTGAATGATGCTTTCTTCTGGCTGTTCCTCTAGAGTTGGAACTCGCGAGCCATATCACTCCATAATCCAGACCCTTGCTTCGATGTATTTACATGCCATGTTTCC